TGGATGAACGAGGGTACAGCGGGAAACATCTGTTACAATCTTTAACTGATGACAATTTGGATTTCATGCAAAAAGGATTATTGTTGGATTTTGAGAGAGGAAATATACTCAGGGTGAGTCCAGATGGTGTTATTTGCAGAGCTTGTCATGGGACACATTTGTTAAGTACAGATCAAATAAGGAAGATATATCCTGAACAAAGATGGGAATTTACTGATATCTTCTGTAACGATATGCTGGCAACTTGGAATGGACCTTTATCTGAGAAAATAAGGAGCCTACTGGATTATTTTGACATATCAGCAAGTATTGTATTTGCACGAGCTGTGGATACACTTGATGAAGAGCATGGATCAGTTTTAAATAAATATAACGTTTGGCCTGACATATTAGATGGATTAAACTATCTGTTCTCTAGAGAACATTTTCAATCGGATAAAGGGATTTTTGGTCATCTTAAAAAGAATCCAGAGAAATATTTGCGTAAATGTAGTACAGAAACAATGTCATGGTTGAAAGAAGTAAAAAAAATATCCGCAACTTTTCTTCTTACGGGATCAAATGCAGATTTTGTGAACTTTACTGCGAGTTATGCTCTTGGTGAGAACTGGAGGTCCTTTTTTGATATTGTTGTGTGTTATGCTAGAAAGCCGGGTTTCTTTATTAACAATCGACCGTTCTTTAACGTTGTGAACAATGATGAAACTAATATTGTGTGTCAAGATTTGAAACAAGGTGGAATGTATAGCCAAGGAAATTGGACTGATCTATTAAAATTTTTTACTCATATAACGAAAGAAACTAAGCAGCGATGCTTATACATTGGCGATAATCTTGTACAAGATATATATGTACCAAATGCATTTGCACATTATGATACATTAGCTGTAATCGAGGAACAAATGTCAGAAGGGATGATTCATCATGGATCGTCTCATCCAGATGAGAAAATTTTAAATTCAAAATTGTGGGGATCTTACTTTTGTTTGAAAGATTCGACAATCAATGTTGACTCTTTGTGGGGGCATGTAATAAAGAAACACGCAAAGCTGTGTATACCAGAAATTGATGTAATTGTACAGAAATCTTTAGAAGAACCTATTCATTGTTTTGATAAAGATGGAAAATCCTATCATGGATATTATCCTGCTAGACCACTTAGTATATCAACATTGTAATATAAGAATGACAATAACATGAGTATTGCCATTCCTTTACATTTGTAGCAAAAGTCACATTTTTTATATGGAAAACTTTACTGACGATTTTAAATACTAAGCATGTAACTTTTAAAAATAATTGACTTTAAATATATAGCATTTAAAAATATCTTGGGATTACTTTACATTATTGTCAAATTGTTTCAGTTTGTAATAAAAATATCAAAAAATGGTTACTCTTGTTGCATTGTATTTAGTCATCTAATGAAAATGTATTATAATTTAAGATACGGATTATATCAGCTATCACGGAACAGTTAAAACGATTAGGAGGTCCACAAAGGGAACTGAAGGATACGAAACGCACATTCAAAACTAAACGCACTCAACAGAGACAACAAGAAGGCCTTGCAGCTGTAAAAAAAATTTTAGAAAATAAAACAGAAGCTGGAGAGGCACAGAGTAAAAATAAATAAAACTTGTAATAAAGTTATAATTTATTATCTTTTAATTAGCATTTGATTTGGAAGTTGGAATAATATTAAGCATGTTTTAATATACACATCATTAAATAATGATTAAATTTGTCTTGTATATACTTTGTTGATTAATGATAATATATATATACATACACATATATATAAATATTTTTACATTATGTAAGAAAATACTGTGATTTATGTTATAAAAGCATTTAACCCTTTGCCTTTTACCCCTAAAAACAGATTCGCCAATAAATTACTCGTTATTGTTTACAACTACGTTATATGTTTACAATATAGGCAATACTTGGCGTAACAAATTGTTATACAAATTATTTACAGCTTAGGAAGGCTATAAATATTTGTTCACATTATTAAATATTCAATTTACAGCACACCAGAAATATGTTTACAATTCAATATTTTAATAAAAATATAACAAATTTTTCATATATAGGCAAGATATTCGTTATTTTCTTTCAATGGCAATAGCGATACCCATTCCTCCTCCAATGCACAAAGATGCGACACCCTTTTTCTTTCCAGTTCTCTCTAAAGTATGTAATAAAGTGACCAGAATTCTTGTTCCTAAAACACAAAGATGTATCATAAGATAGAAATTTCATTTTGGAGAAAGTTTAGGCATTAATTCACACATGCATACCAGACATGCCAATCGGATGACCGAGAGCAATAGCACCACCATTTACATTAACTTTCTCGCTGTCTATTCCCAGTTCTTGAACACACGCAATTGCTTGCGCTGCGTAGGCCTCATTTAACTCGTAAAAGTCCACTTCCTCCTTTGTCCAGTTTGCTTTTTTCAACTAAAATAAACGGATATTTTTAATCATAAAATCACATTGCATTATGATAGTATAAAACTAGTTCAGAACTAAAAAAATACGATATACTAACGACTAATTTAACAGCTTCAACAGGTCCAATGCCCATAATTTGAGGATCAACTCCAACCTGTGCAACCGCAACAATATTGGCTAATGGTAAAAGTCCTTTAATTGCAGCTGTTTCTTCAGACATAAGAACTACAGCCGCTGCACCGTCATTTATACCACATGCATTTCCAGCAGTAACCGTGCCATTCTAAATGTAACATGTATATATTTTTATTTTATATAAACTTTTACAAATTTGTTTTATAAAATTTTATAAAAAATATATGCGTACCGACAGAAATGTTGGTTTTAATTTTGCAAGTTTCTCCACAGTTGTTCCAAATATTGGAAATTCATCCTTAGATACAGTGATAGATTCTTTCTTGCCTGAAATGACTACTGGAACTATTTCCTTGTCGAAGTGACCAGCAGTAATAGCAGTCTCTGTTTTTTGCTGAGATTTGCTTGCATAATCATCCTGTGCTTCTCTACTTATTGCATACTTTTTAGCAAGATTCTCAGCTGTCATAAAGCAAACAGTAATAGAAAGGTATAATAATATTGATTTAGATTTTAAATCTTAAATTTTGCATAATTAGATTGAATTGCAATTATTTTGTTTTACCTGTTATTGCCATGTGAATATTGTAGAAGGCATCCGTTAAACCATCTTCTAGAAGTGTGTCAATTAAATTACAGTTTCCAACTTTTACACCAGTCCTAAGATAAATTGCATGCGGCGTTCTACTCATACTTTCTTGACCACCAGCCACAACTATATCATTTTCCCCTGATTTTATAGAAGAATAACCATTTATAACAGATCTGTAACATATATAAGTTATAATCTTGCATATTCAGCATACTGCGTAGTTTATTGCAACATTGGCTTAGTTTACACCGATTGTTTAGTACGCGTACCAAGTACTAAATCTACTTCTCCGATAGGTATTAATCGTTTAATGTAAAATCTGCACCAATCAAAGAAGCAGATTTAGTACTTGGTACGTGTAAAACAATCGGTGTAAACCAGTGGCGTAGCTAGGAAAGAGTTTCGGGGAGGGCTATAGCTTTAATTTGTTACAAATTATCACTATTAATTAGACACATCTGCACGGTATATTACCCACACTTAGCGCGACCCAGAGCCAACGACGGGGACGTGATGGGTTCTGGCTCCATTTTACTTTTTTTTTGTTTTTGAGTAATTTTATTTTTTTTTATTTTTTATTTATTATTTTTATCTTTTTTTGTTTATATTTATATATATATATATA